TGAAAGGGCAAGGAAGAAAATCATTGCATCCTACTCGTGAATGATTTTTAGATACCTTTAGTTCTAGAGTTTAAATTGTAAAATCACTTTAAAACAGTAGGTTGTATGGCAAAGGTGTGGAAGCCATTTTCATTCTCCTTTGACACAAACTGAGTGAGCTTCACTGATTCTGTGCACACGCATCCCAGCCTCCATCCCCAGGAGACTGTCCACATCAGGTTAAAGAACGCCCTCTCTGTAAACAACCTAAGAGGACAGGCAGTAGGGCATAGTTTTGTTTTGTTTGATTAGTTAATCCATTTTTTTATTTCCCCGGGGTGTGAGGTTCATCAGCCCCCACCTTCCTTACTTCTTGTAGACTACTCTCTCCATCTAGATCCCAGAAATTCACAGCTGAGCAGAAAAATAAAAGTGAGCTATTGACATAGGAACAATTGACTAAAGTAGACCATCTATCAAAGAATCATTAGTAAATGAATTTGAGACTGTCTATTCAGGTTATGTATGAAAAGCCCTTTCCAGTCATTCCTGATTCTATCAAGTTCAGCAAAGTAGCAGATATGAGATTTGTTCAGTCCAGATCCAATTCAAGCTATTGTCTTTCCTATATGTATTTCAACATTGTTTTTATTCAATGATGTGTGTTAATGTAAATAAATCTGAATCACACACTCTTAAAAGAGAAGAAAACGCAATGAGATACCACTACAACCTATTAGAATGGCCGAAATCCAAAACACTGACAACACCAAATCCTGGCGAGCAGGAGGAACAAGAGGAACTCCCATTCACTGCTGGTGGGAGTGCAAAATGGTACAGCCGCTTTGGAGGACTGTGTGCTGGTTTCTTACAAAACTAAACATACTCGTGCCATACAATCCAGTAGTTGTGCTCCTTGGTATTTACCAAAGGTTTTGAAAACTTAATGTCTACACAACAACCTGCTCACTGATGTTTATAGCAGCTTTATCCATAATTACCAAAACTCGGAAGCAACAAAGATGGTCTTTGTAGGTGAATGGATAAATAAACTGTGCTATATACATACAATGGAATATTATTCAGTGCTAAAAAGAAATGTGCTATCAAGCCATGAAAAGACATAGAGGAACCCTAAGTGCATATTACTAAGTGAAAGAAGCCAATCTATAAAGGCTACATACCATATAATTCCAACTCTATGACATTCTGGAAAGAAGTAAAACTATGGAGACAGTAAAAACGTCAGTGGTTGCCAGGGGTTGGGGGGAGAGAGGAATGAATAGGTGGGGCACAGAGGATTTTTAGGGCAGTGAAACTATTCTGTATGGTACTGTAATGGTGGCTATGTGTTATTCTACATTTGTCACGACCCACAGAATGTACGACATCGAGTGAACCATAATGTAAACTATGGACTTTGGGTTATCATGACATGTCAATGTAGGTTCATCGATTATAACAAATGTCCCACTATGAAGGAGATGTTGATAAAGGGGGAGGCTATGCTTGTGTGAGGGCAGCGGTATATGGGAACTCTCTGTACTTTTTGTTCAATTTTGCTGTGAAAGTAAAACTGCTCTAAAAAGTAATGTCTATTTTAAAATAGTAAAAAAGAGAGCTAGAGAAAGAACCTAACGCGTGACAACCAACTGCACCACATTCTATTCATCTGATATTTATTAATTTACTACCATGTGACAGACATTCTTCTAGGGCATTTTATTATATTTTACATATATTAGATACAATATTATGTGGCATTTTATTAACTTTGTTTTAATAATGTTAAACCTAGAATCTTTTAAGATTTGACTTTTGAAGAATTCTGCATGAAGATGGTAAAGGGAATAGGAGAGAGAGTAAACTGGCCTAAACTTACAGTGTGTGGGCTGAAACAAGGGCTCCCCCTTTTGGGTGTGGAGTGACCAACAGGGAGTGTACATGGAAAATAGATGGCTGGCCATTTAGTGGAAGAGACAGTAAAGGTGCCATTTCAGAGAAGAGAGTCTCCCCTGGTAGTTTTTCAAAGAGAAGTTGTACGTTATTAATGTTTAAAATAAGTTTGTTTGGAGTCTTATAAGAATTTAAGATTGGATACAAGAAGAAACTGGAAGAATTGGGTGTAAGCAGAAGTTGAAGCGGGGGAGGATCTAGGAGAAAAGCAGAGCGGAAGTGAAGAGGACGGCGTTGGGACCCATCCTCAGCCACCCAGAATAAAGACCCTACAAGAGAATTGAAAGTCCACCTCACAGCTTCCCTCTGGTCCTGTTGGGAGAGGGGAGGTAACGGGAGGAGGAGGAGCCAAGGACCTGACCCTCACACTTCACATCTGTGAATGTTTAAATATCAACTCTGCTAATGTTTGGCCTCAGAAAACTGAAGTAGGATTGTCTAACATTGTTAGATAAAATTCAACCTCAAGAAAACAAAAGTTTTTAATATAGATGATCCAGTGACCCCAAAATAAGGGCAGAAGAAAAAGTTTATTTTCTTATTTGTGTTTCTCTAAATAGATTAAAATAGAACTTAAGATTTCCTTATAAATTTGCATATATGGCATTAATTAGGATCACACTGAAAATATTGTGTTCTCATTATACCATTAAGAATTGATATTGCATTCATTTTGAATTCATTTTCCCTCTTAATGCTTTGCAATAATATTTTAATAGCTTCATTCATTAAGTTCTTTGAATGGGAAATATATTATCATAAATTAGAAATATTAATTATAATATACAATACAGCTAAAATATATAGATATAGATAAAATACTTGGATAGATAGATAGGAAGATAGGTAGATAGATAGATTTACTATACCATTTCTTTTTTTTTTTATAAATTTTATTTATTTATTTTTTCCCCCAAAGCCCCAGTAGATAGTTGTATGTCATAGCTGCATTTCCTTCTAGTTGCTGTATGTGGGACATGGCCTCAGCATGGCCGGAGAAGTGGTGCGTCGGTGCACACCCGGGATCCAACATGGGCCGCCAGCAGCGGAGCACAGGCACTTAACTGCTAAGCCACAGGGCCAGCCCTATACCATCTTCTTTTAACATATAACCAATCAGAGAACTGTAAGAATGGCTTTATTACCTCTTTTTTAATGGTTTCATCATCACTAAAATAATTAAACCCAGAGAATTTTAAGGTAAAGCACATACATGCAAATACACACACATAGAGAAAATGACATTCATAGTTTAACCTTTTTGTGCAAATGGAATGTCTCTTCTGCAGTATTATAATAAAGTGGATGTGGTTATAACCCAGATGTACGTACGGGACACACGTATATAGTGATACAAACTTTATCTCTCTTGGATGGGTGCCAAGCAGGGTAAAACTGTAAATTGGGCAAAAGTTATTTTCCAATCCTTTCTCACTTTTTTAAATTGACCCAATAATCCCTTTAGCCACCTTCTGGGCTCTCTTACCTCCGCAGGCTACGCAGGCACCTTGGGGAAGTGACCGCCCTGCTCAACAACCCTGTCCCTCTGTGTCCTTCCCTCTTCCTTCTCTGGTGCTATTCTCCCAGGAGGTGCCATCTGCAAACACCACATTCATGTTTTCCAAATAGAGACTCAGAGTCCGTGAGTTTTGTGAGGATTTCACTTCTTCTCTTTGCATTTTGTTGATGGATGAAAATAATTCCAAGAGGCATATTCTGAATCATCAGGTGTCCCGCCTTATATGAATGATGCATGCCCTTATTTTATTTGTAAGCTACTGTGGGAAGAGCTGCTGTAGCCCCCTGGAAACACTCTTAGCTGTTCACAAAAGGTTTTGTTTTTTTCCCTTTAAAGAAGGATATTACTCAATTCTGAAAAGCTGAGTGTTAGCTAATCTGAGTAACACAACTGTAACAAGTAGTACACTCTCCCTCCCCGTTGACTCAACACATGTTTGTTGCACATTTACTCTGTGCCCAGCATTGCCCTGGGGATAGGGACAGGGATATGTCAGTGAACAAGCAAAGAGACTTGCCCTCCAAGAGCGTACCTTCTAGTGGAAGACAGACAGTAACAATAAGCATTCATAAAGCAGGTGGAAATGACAAATGCTATGAAGAATTCTGTAACAGATTAATTATCTTTATCGTAGCTGCACTGGGGAAGAGGTGTGGGTCAGATTGCAATTTTAAATAGTGTGGTTGGAGCAGCCTCATAGGGAAACTGGCATTTGAATCCCTTGGAAGAGTTGGGGGATTTAGCCACGTGCCCCAGCACATCAGTGGAGTAAATGCATTTTCCGTAATAGGAAAACTAAGTAGGGAAGGTACCAAATTATAATCTTTCATACCAAATTATAATCCTTTGATCCCTGAGGGACATTGAAATTAAAAAAAGAAAAGAATATTACTAACGAATCGTGTTATATTTCCATGTTAATGCAGAAATATTCAAATACGGCTTTGCTAATGAAAATTCCATGAAATGGTCTGTATGTTAACTAGCCAATTTGTTTGCAGTTTGAATTTTAAAATTGGTCTAAAAATTTAAGGACAGCAAGGAGAACACACATCTAGAAACATATTGCAAGGCTTTTTTCCATTCACTTATTTAAAAAATCAAAATTTTCTTTGGGTAAAAACAATACCACAATTTAATGTAATTTTGTACATCAATCCTGCAGCCCTTTAAGACAGTGGTTAAATTTAATAAGTCTTAGGAGTGAGAAGCATTCTTTTGCTCCCCCATCTGCTTCATGCCATGAGAGTGTGGCATGTTTGTATAGAGAGAAATGTCTGAGACACCCATTAGGAAGTTAAAATTACCTCTCCAAAATTCCGTAGCTTGAAAGGAAATGCATCTGAATTTTTATTGGTAGGATATTAAAGCAAGTAAAGGCAATAAAATCTAAGCAGAACGCTAATTTGTTTTCTTTTCCCTTTGTATGCCTTAATTCAGTTCAGTGCAATTGATTGTTGCAGCTACTTCATATGAGAAACCTGTTTTGGTTTAAATAGTGAAAACTTCCTCTCTAAGGCAAAAGGTGTGTCCTTTGCTTTTTCAGATAAGGCGACAAGGAGGCATTCAGCTCCTGGTGGACCTGCTGGATCATCGGATGACGGAAGTCCACCGCAGTGCCTGTGGAGCCTTGAGAAACTTGGTGTATGGGAAGGCCAACGATGATAATAAAATTGCCCTGAAAAACTGCGGCGGCATCCCAGCGCTGGTGAGGTTACTCCGCAAGACCACCGACCTGGAGATCCGGGAGCTGGTCACAGGTTAGAACCCTTATGAACAGCACGACTGACTCTCAAGATAAAATTTCCGTTATCCAGCATGGTTTCAGATGTGCTCATGAAGTATTACAGTCCAGGCCTTTCAGAGGGCTAATAACATAGGCAGGCCCCATACGTGTTTCCAAATGACTAAACACATGAATAAAAGGGTATCAAATGTAACACACGTGAATTAATTGAATTAAATAATTAGAATCCAATAAACCTAACCCTCACTAAAGTTCTATGACCATATTTCAGTTTTTGCATTTGATTTAGAAGTAGCTCAGCATCTTACCATACCCACGGGGCATCATTAGAATGGCATTAATAATGATGAAAGGACAAGGTATGTGAGTTATTGTTAATAAGGTGTATATTCTGGTTTATAGTGTGGTTAACAACAGAGATCTATCTTATCATATTTAACGATTAATTTCTAAATGTTTATGCCTACTAAAAGTCCCCAGGTTATAGAATTACATATTAGGGAATTTTTCAAAGCAAACATGAGAGAAAGCCTTTCCATGAACATAGAACTGTTGAGTTTTGTGAAATGGAGATAATTATAGTCCCTACCTCATAGAGCTGTGAGGATTTAATGAATGAGAACATGTAAAGCATTTAGCACATGCTTTTTTGCAATATGTGCAAACACAGGAAATATTAGCCACTCTCGTCCCTCATTTTTTAAGTGTGCAGTTTTACTGGTTGGCGTCCTAACAACAGAAGTGGCCTCAATATGGGATTTCAAATTACTCTTCTTGATTATACACATTGCTGTTCTAGGTGGTGTTTGGGTCTGGGTTCATCAAAGTACCCCTTCAAGCAAGTGTTTGGGAAAGGGGTTGCAAGGTTGCCTCTCAAAAAAGGATCTTTTCATTATCCATGATTCTGCTAACCAGCTGTCTGAACTCTAAAATTTCCTTGTAGCTATGCTGATGAAGTGTGTGTGAACTTGTTTATTTAAGAGAATACATGACTCTAGCTAGAAAGGCATAAATATTTGTTCAGTCTTGGGTCAATACTCTCAGCTTCAGTGTATTTTCTTGAATTTACACCCTTTAAGACTATTGTCACATCTCTTTCACACTCTTAGCGAAATTAGTATCAGACCTCATTGTTTTTCCTTTGTTTTTTTCTTTCTCTAAGTGGAGAATTGTCTTTGTAGAAAAAAATAAAATAGTGGTTAAGGGTTACAACGTTATTAAAGTAATGTTTCACACTCAACTAACATGGCGTGACAGGGGTCAGTTAAGGTAAAACTATTATTATGCACAGATTATGATGTGTAGGATAGTTTTAGGATGAGTTAAAATAATAATAACTCAGTTAATATAATAATAACTGAAAATATACCCTGCCATTATAGTTATGAACCCATCTTTATTTTCATGAGTCGTGTTTAAATCGGAAATACCTGCAAGAGAAAGGACTCAATGCATGTGACAGAAAACAAACATCATGGTGCTTCTGTGCATTAAGACCTTGCCAGTGGGTGCATGAGGCCAACTGAACTAAAGGAACACCTTCTGCTGTATACCTTATGCATCCATTTCATGATTTAAAAAGAATCAGAATTTACTAAAATTTGGATTTTCCCCAACACAAAACCCTTGTCTAGAAGCACCTTCTGTGATGGCTTATCTCATTGCCAAGGAAACTCAGCAGCATGAAAAGGTTGAGGTGATTGATGGCTTAAACTAGAGAAGAAATGACAGCAGTGCCTCTGTCCCACGACATCGTCCAGTGCTGCTTGCCCGTGCTTCTTCTGATACTTGAAGCTGCTATGAAGGAACTGACAGCCGGCTACTCCCTCGCCTTTAGCACTGCTTCTGACAGATGCTGGGTGTCACCCATTATATGCAGCTGGGCAACATCAAAAATTTCTATGTGAGCCTTGTTTGGAAACAACAAAGGCAAATAACTTTTTCAGAATGTCAAGAAGTTTCCTTTCCTGGTGAAACTTTGTAGGAAAGATGCTAGTACTTGATATAGAGAGAGTACATATACCTCTTACTCTGCTCCTTTTGAGAAGAATGCAGGTTTGCCCCCATGGTCATGTCATGACTTAATGTTTCTTCATCAGCATGTGCTGGTGGCCGAGACTCTCCACCTCCTCTCCTAGAAGGAATGCTGTCGTCTGCCATGACGCCGTCCAAGCCATCAGAGCCAAATCCATTCAGGTGACAGTGGTTGCTACCTCAGTAGATGTTTCCTGCCTTTACAGAGGCAGCGTCTTATTGTGCTTGGCTTGAGGCACTTCAGGCATGAATTTCACCTTTTTCAAAGAAAAACATGTCAGAACATTTTGACTGTATGCAGTTCATGGTTTCTGGAGTTGCCATGATGGATACTATTGAAAAACAACAAGCACCTGGGCCAAGCTACCACTCTAGAAAAGGAAACTGGAAGCAAGCATCTACGAGAACATGCCAGCATGGAAGGAATTGCTGGTGTAGACCCAGTCTGTAGTAACAAAACCTTCTAAATTTCCCTGCTGGCAGAAATCTGAGGGTGCCTGGAAACCTGAAAGGCTCTGCTGACTTCTGTTTAGACAGAATATCAATGATGCAAATCTAGCCAAAGCTGACTCCATTGCCTTCGGGAGTCCAGTCTTTTAGTACAGCTAACTGGATTTAACCTCAAGGTCATCAAATCCTTCATTTCTCTTATCGGTTATTCTCTTTCCACTCCTCCTCTGAGTTTCTTGTCTCTGCCCAAGTCTGATGAACTCTTTACTACTCTATGTGAGTCCAGGCTCTTCATTCATTTCCTTACTCCTTCATTTCTCAAGTGATTTTGAATTTCTACAGGTGCCAGGTGGGTGCTAAGCCTTGGACATCTGCATATGCAGGGCTGGTGATCAGTTGACCCACATGGCACAGCTGCATTGATGTTTACACCACTGCCGTGGTTGGGGCCCTATCCTGAATTGTCACACCCGTGCGTTACTGGCTGCTAAAAATTAAAAGAAACATCCCTGACAAACATGTCCATATTTTAGAAACTTAACTAGGTGAGCAACAAGGAGGTTGATGGCTCAGGAGGGTGGAGTAGAGTGTAAGCATAAAAGGCTCACTTCACTTCCATTGTCACAAGGACGCTCCTCAAATCTTTTTTGGGATTACGTTAGGTATTCATGCATGAATAAATAAAACAGTGAATTAAACATAACAACTATGGCTTTTCCTTCGTTTGTAATTCTTCAACGGACCTAATACAGAGTTTGGCAAGGGGTAACAACTCAGGAGCCCCCCCAGTACACAGAAGGGTTTTTTTTTTTGTTGCCGTCTCTTTCCTGCCTTAAAGGCAAATGCATGAAAACACAAGGGTGTTGAAAAAAAATTATGGGGACGGTGATGAACCCTTTGAATTCTTCTCTAGATGTTTACAAACTAGGATGTTTTGTAAACAAATATTCGAAAGAACCATTTTAGTAATTAAAAAACAATAAAGCATGTTTATAAACCAGATTTTAGATTAGACCTTGGCTACATATCCAGAAGGATCTAGAGCACCAAATTATGAACAATAAAACACTAAAAGAAAGAAATGATCTTGCAGAGCGTTAAATTATTTACTGAGTATTCCTTGGCAAACTATTTGAACAATAATAAAATGTTAAAATTGAGGTATTTACATGCATTTACATTCAACACATAAACACGCATGCTTAAAAAAACAGCTGCGTGTTTGCACCACAGTATCTCTTCACAGCAGAATATCTTTTGCCACTGCCTGTTGGGCCTTGCAATAAATAATTTCCTTCCTATGCCATAATTACTGTGAGATGATGATCAGAATTTTATTTAAATCCAGTTGAAGCTATTATATGCTAGCCATTACTTGAAATGCTCTTAAGCAAATAAACTTTGATTAGAAACGCTGTATGTCCTTTGGGCTTGACGAATATAATTTTTCTCTCTCTAAATATGGAAATAATCAACCTAAATTTTGAAATGCCCAAGTAAAGATTTCAGAATGCTTTACAAATCATAATAAAACAGTTTTTATTAAACCATAAAACTTAATAAATAAGTTTTATTTCGATTGAAAGCAAGTGTCCTTAGGAGTTCTACGTCTCCAAGGGCAGAGTATGTCCTTTCCTCTTAGGCTTCAAATACTCAAATAGTCTTTCCTTTCAATTAATGAGACAGGCCTCAGTTTAGCTATTTTACTTATAAGCATTAGGTCAGTTGATTTAATGCCTAGTCTCTAAAGGACTCTATTTTTTGACTTATGTCCCCCCAAAATTCGTATGTTGAAATCTTAACCTATTTTCCCACAAAAAGTGTCTCAGATGTAATTAGTTAAGTTAGGATACTAGAGTAGAATGGGCCTTTAGTCCAATATAGGTGGTGTCCTTGTGAAAAGGAGAAATTTAGACCCAAACGCACATAGGGAGAAGGCCATGTGAAGATTAAGGCAGAGAGAGATCAGGGTGATGCTTCTGCAAGGCAAGGAATGCCCAAGATTGCCAGCAAACCACCAGAAGCTAGGGGAGAGCGTTAGTACACAGGTTTTTCCTCACAGCCTCCGAAGGAACCAATCCTGGTGACACCTTGATCTTGGATTTCTAGCTTCCAGAACTGTGAGACAATAAGTTTCTGTTGTTTAAGCCACTCAGTCTATGGTGCTTTGTTATGGCAGTCCCAGGAAACTAGTACCCAAATCCATGCTGTCCTTCACCTTTTCCCAGGTGTGAGCAAACACATTTGTTGGTCAGGGAAATAAAGCAAGGCAAATAAATGCAGAACCATGAGGGCTAAATAGTGTTGCTGTGTTTAAAATAAATAGGACCCTATTGGCCTGATTTTTTAATGCATCTTCTTGTGAAGGATGGGAAGTGGCAAGGATGATAATTAAATGCATTGTCTTTTAATTTTTTCAATCAAAGTAATAGATGTATATGGTCAAAAAATAGAATAGTATGAAAATGCTCATAATGAAAACAATAGTCCCCGGCCTCATCTATCCTCCTCCCAGTCCCTCAGAGGCAT